CTTGGCTGTTTGGACATGTTGACAATCAACTGACAAAGGTGCACCCCTTCACAATAATAGACCCAACCAGTTGTGACACGGTCACGCAATACGTTAGTATTCACTTGATCAGGTCAAACTGAACAAGCTGCAGCTGCACACGTCTTGCTCATAAGACTCTCACGTGGTCGGTGTAGCAGGTAGCACTACCCTTGATCGCGGACAACTTGGGGCCCCTTCGCTAACAATTACATATGGCAAAGGCCAGTGGGGGCACTCAGAGTCATACATGCTAATACGGGTCAGTTGTCAGGTCGGTGCTCAACTTATCCTTGTTTGCCAGTAATTGAGCTTCCGTTACTAATTTTATTTCAGAAACTATGATCAGATGATCTTTAAAAAGCATATATTGCACATTTGTCATAAGCTTACTTTCATATGATAGTACCTGTGGTGTTTATCATGTTTTTTTATGTTTTGTGTTTGTTCAGGTATATGATGTCGGCCTTTAAACAATCGAGTCTCGACCGGACAATCAAGAGACTGACATTCTGACCATTGATCTACGCATCTGGGATACGAATGGCATGAATCAATCATGACAGCGAACCTAACCGTCTTAAAGGGCGGTAACGACGAGGTTAAAGCGTTCGCTTGTCACGCTGAAGGTCCGGGTTCGATTCCCCACATAGGTTGAATGTGGGAAACCAATTTCTGGTGTCCCCTGCCGTGACATTGCTTGAATATTGCAAAAAGCGGCGTAAAACAATGCTCACCCTCTAACCCTCTAATCCCACCGGTCGCTCCTTATGACAAGCGTGGGTTTGATGACTGGTTCTAACCCGTATCTTTAAGGATTGTTGAAGATATAATGTGACATGACAAAATGCTATTTAGCTAGATATTTAACATAACTAAATACGTTTCATGCATTATCTCTGCCGTTTAAGATGATTTTGACAGCCCGGGCCTGTGATACAGGGAAGTGGTCGTTTCCTCAAATGACAGCATCGTTCGCTCCAATGGGGCAATCAACATCAAAGGTTTTCCGAAGTGCTCTACAAATCGCTTTGGGTTTCTCCGAAGGCCCGTTCTACTCAAAATTGGGGGAGTGGCCACACATAGCTTTGGGTTTGATGGGGAGTATCGTGATGTACAAACTGTCGATATTTCAGTTTCGACACTTGACCTGTGAATTCGGATGCGTCATGTCAGGAGGAATCGTACACGTGGGCTTCTTGTAAAACAATAGAAGTTCCATGTAAGATATTGGTGTTTCTTGTATTTTCAACCGCTTTCCTGCGTCACTGTATTTCCACAAAGTACTGGCTCTAGACGAGAGCAAATGTATATTGTAAAGTGAGTTGACTGTATGGATAGACAATGATAACTACAACACTTTAAAAACAAAATTGAATTTTGCACTCATTGGCCTTTGACCCCAATTAGTGACCTAATTACTTGGCATTTGTGAGCTTAACAAACAACAGATTCGCATTCAGCACGAAATACTAAACCAGAATATGTGGTTTGCTTGCGTTTACTCAAAAATGCCCCATGCATCCTTAAAATCCACATCTGAGAAATTTGACTAGACTATATTGAGATATGTATAACGAACATAACAACAATATGTGTGTTCGTGCGTGCGTCCGTGCGTGCGTGTGTGTGCTGGAGACAGTGTGCGCTCGAATCCCAGATGAGACTCAACCAAAAATGTATTGACATCTGAACTTTTCCTGAGATATAACATAAAGTGTTCATAGTGCTAAAATCGGCGTATGTTACTAACATAATGAGTGAGTGCTGAGAATAGTGCAATATTCAGCAACATCAAATCGGCGTGGGCTTCACACATCGTGGGGAATCAAACCGGGGTCTTCGGCGTGACGAGCAAACACTTTAACCACTAGGCTCCCTCTCCCCTAGTGAAAAAGGGGACGAAAGTATACTCCAAAACGTGTTCCTTATTATAAAGAGGTTGACATCCATAAATTCTCCATATGTATCACTTATAACTGCCAGTCTACTTCATACCTATTCCGTTACCCATGACAGTTATGAACAAAAGCATATCTGAAAAATGTATCAAGTACATCAACTGATAATAAATTTTGATTATACTAAAATACATTTTCACGACATTGTCAAATTATAGGGACATAACTATGTCTTATTCTTAAAAAGCAATAACCCTCAGTGCAGGGCTTCCTGAATAACGGTCCGGATGTCGCGGGTTCGATCCCCGGCCCTGTCATACCAAAGGACGGTTAAAATATGGTATTTGTTGTTCCCTTCCTGGCGCTCGGCATTAAAGGGTAAAACAAGGACTGGTCGGCTCGAGCTCGGAGTCAGTATATGTGTCTGAGTTCGGTATTCATGCTTCATGGCATGGTATCTCAGTGAGCTAGCACTATAATACCAGCTTAAGTCTGGGTTAGTGCAAGCAGCCACACATACACACGCATGTACGTAGTCATATCAGCGAAATATTCTTAAGTATGACGCTAAACCCCATTTCACTTCACCTCACCTCACCTCACCTCACCTGATTGACGGGGTTTGGAATTAACTGAACGGTTGTGAAATGGAATGTTAATCCAGTTAAAGGAATGGTCCGGAATGTGATATTCTATTGTCTGTCCTTTGTCTGACACTATGAACACATAAGGCGTGGCCGTGTACTGGCATATGAATTATCTTGCAATTTATTGCGATTCGGAAACGTATATAGTGCGTTTGGCTCAAAAGCGGACCGATGAATTGCAATCTAACTCGAACACTAATAAACATAATACTCAATGAATGACTGATCCTAATCAAAACATCAGACCAACTCAGTCATTTGTTTGCAGAATTTATGTCCTAAAATCAAAAAAGTTGTTTAACAAACAATCATCAAAATATTAACACAGTTCACTATTTCTTACGAGGGAGGAGTGCAGAGAAAGGGACAGCCAGGTGTTAGAGAAGCACGTGCACAAGTGCCGACAAAGTTATTGATTCATTAACCTGTGCTGTGCCGTCTCCATCCTTTCTCGCACACCTGGCTGTCCCTTTCTCTGCACTCCTCCCTCGTAACAAATAGTGAATACAATTTACTGTCATGAAAGTATGTAATTAATTCCATTTTGTCAAAAAACACAAAGGGAAACATCACATATAAATGAAAGTCTTTGTAAATTTTAACAATAATCATTGAGACTTCAAGTAAATGTTTAACAAATACACCGATTTCTCATAAAAAGGTATTATAATACGAATCGTTTGCAAAGAGCGTATTGCGGTATACCTGTTCTACCATGAAGTCCTACATAAGGCCGTTCACATTATATGCAACAGTCATAATTACACAAGAGATTGGTGACAGATATCTGCCTCCTTTACAAATAAGTAGGAAAACTGGGGAGGTGGGGTAGCCTAATAGTTAAAAGCGTTGGCTCGTCACGCTGAAGGCCCGGGTTCGAATCCCCACATGGGCACAATGTGTTAAGCCCATTTCTGGTGTCCCCCGCCGTGATATTGCTGGAATATTGCTAAAAGCGGCGTAAAACTAAACTCAGCCAGTCAGTCAGTAGGAAAACTATCCCCAGAGACTAAATTCGTACTGCCTACCTTTTACAACAGATTTTGTGCAAAACATAAGTATTAATTTAACGCAAGTGACATTTCACGATACACTGAAGAAATTAACTTGGGTTGGTGGTTTTGATCCAGGGTTGACAGATTCCGATTAGTCGGTGTCCTGTTTTCACAGTCTGGAGTGCAGATGTGAAGCCTAATATACGAGATAATAAGCACGAGCTTATTCGAGACGGAGCGAAACAGACTGATCTGAAATGGACAGGGTCCTGTTTTAACAGGTTGCATTGTACATGAATGTGAAGTCACAACTACGAGACAATAAGCATGAGCTTATTCGACTTGAAGCGAAAGAGACTGATCTGGAGTTGGCAGTGTCCTGTTTTAACACTTTCCATTGTACATGAATGTGAAGTACAACTACGAGACAATAAGCATGAGCTTATTCGACACGAAGCGAAAGAGACTGATCTGGAGTTGGCAGTGTCCTGTTTTAACACTTTCCATTGTAAGTGAATAAGCATGAAGTCACAGCTAAGAGATCTGGAGTTGACAGTGTCCTGTTTTAACAAGCCATTGTAAGTGAATGTAATTCACAGCTACGAGGAGTAATTCAAAAAGACATAAAGACAACAGACTGCGAGTTAAATTACATTTGTGACGTCATTCCATTGTCTGTTCGCTCCATTACTTTTCAGGAATGGAGCGATGTGTACCAGTTTCAAAATAAAACCTTCATTTTGTCATTTTGACATTTAATTTTGATAACAAAAATATACCCAATACTTCGAATGTAATTTAAGTAGGGTAATATCCTCGTAACTCTCCATTCCTTAAAAATAATGTGCCTCGGCCCCTCCGGGGCCTCGGCTCCATTATTTTTAAGGAATGGAGAGTTACTCAGACATTACCCTCTACATAATATACATGAATATATTCAAAATGGAGAGAAAACGAATTGGATTGTAATAGGCAGGTTCCTGTTTTGACAGGTGCCATTGTACGTGAATGTGAAGTCGCGACGACAAGACAAAAGGCATAGATATATTCGAGTGAGTGGGTATGGTTTTACGCCGCTTTAAGCAATATTCCAGTAATATCACGGCGGGGGACACCAGAAATGGGCTTCACACAATATACCCATGTGGGGTATCGAACCCGGGTTTTCAGCGTGACAAGCGAACGCTTTTAACCACTGGGCTACCCCATCTCCCGAAAATATATTCGAAACTGAGCAAAACAAATATCTGGAATAGTCCTGTTTATAAATAATAGTCCAATAAACATAAACACATGTACAAACAAATGTCAGCGAAAGAGACAAAAGTCTGGAATAAGGAGAGTCCTGTTTTAACGGGTTCCATTATACATGAATGTGAAGTCAAGACTACAAGGCAATAAACATAAATACATTCGAGGGTAAGCGAAACAGACAAAAGTCTGGAATAGGACGAGTACTGTTTTAGCAGGTTCCATTATACATTAATGTGAAACCACGTCAATGAGATTCGTCGAAACATTAATATCGACCTTTGAGCTGAACCTTCCCAGGAAACTGGCTATTCGCTTTACAAACCGACACACAATATGCAGCACTTTATCAGAACAAGCGTTAGAGATCCGGGACAGGAAGGTCATGGTGACCCATATGTAACGCCGTATTACGAGGCGAGAGCGTCCTACAAGGAAGCCAGGTGATCTCCACGGAGAGCGCTCAAGAGGTAACAGTTTGAAAACGATAATGTATTTCTGTAAATTATGCATGTAGCAACTTGAGAGGTTTTACACTATCAGCTAATCAATGCATAAATTTGCATTATAACCTTGATCTTATCGCTGCGTCGTTGGCTTCAGCTTGGAAACCGATCGTGTTGAAATGTGGCGGACATTGTATTAATTTATTCACGTTTAACAGTAATCAGACTGGTTTATTACACATCAATTTATTCTTGAGTAAATTGGTAACATTGTAATCTATAGATGTATTACCATTTACAGAACAAGTGTGTCTGTAGATGAAATATCGTGTTTTATACTTTAGGTCGTGAAGGTTTCATGTGTCATATTGCATACACCTTACAGTTAAGTTTAACAATGGCCTCAGAAATTTACACGAAGTATGAAACAGACCATGACATGTTTGTGGTACACACTCGTCGTCGCTAAGCGTTTAGAAAACAGGTCGATGCATAGCAGTTCGTCAGGGTACTCATATAGCTTGCGGTGGGTGAATTGACGCGTCGAGAGCGCTCCTGTCTGAGTGAGGTGAAACGATGTCTAAGCATGCATGTCAACGCCGAATTGTACTCGTGTACAGAACAGAATAAAAACGTTGACCAGGGACAATTGTTATGCATAGACAAGTTCTTTATTGCAATGGATGCTAAAGAAGAAGTCTATCTATAACAATGTTCCTGTCACCACATCAGCTGCCAAATGCCAATCAATAAAGAAAAGCACGTTGTTAATTTACCACGTTTATTTTGATCAGGGCGATAAGGATGGTCGGGTGGGGTCGTGTGTTGTAGAGTTTTGTGTGTTGAACTGTGTTGTTAAATGTCGCACTTAGCAATATTCCAGCTATATGACGGCGGTCTGTAAATAATCGAGTCTGGACCAGGTAATCCAGTGATCAACACCATGAGCATCGATCAACAAAATTGGGATATGATGACATGTGTCAACCAGGTCAGCATCCCTGACCACCCAATCCCTCTAGTCGCCTCGTTATAAGGACGACTGATCGAATAGACTCGTTGTAATACAGTTGAACGAAATGGTTTTGCGCCGCTTTATTCCAGTGACAAAATCACAGAGGTTTTTTTGTGCATGAGGAACAGGGCAGGGGGGCTGTAGGCAACTGGCTTGGGGAGTCGAACCCGTCTCATTCGGGAACCCTATAACCACCAGACTACTACCCAAACGGAAGAGCTTAACGCCGCTATCAGCAATATTCCCGCTATTTGTCGGCGGTCTGTAAAAATTCGACTCTGTATCACACAGTCCAGTGATCAACATCAAGAGTATCGATCACGGTAACAAGGATACTATGTGAATGAACCAAGTCAGCGAGCCTGACCACCCCATCCAGTTTGTCGTCTCTTAAGAGTAATATGGGTAGTGAAAGATCAGTTCTCACGCGGACCTTCATGGGTATGTTCACAGCGTAGTTATTATATTCATTTTGTTTAATGGATGTCAGCAAATTATTACGATGTATGCACGGCATGTGCATCTTTAGAAATGTAATTGCATCTGTCCTAACGCTGAAATATTTTCAAGCTTAAACGATCCTTTAGTGGGGTTCTTTAGTCAATGTACGCTTACTGGCTTAATTGTGTGAGAGCTTTTCAAGTTGCACCCACTCAGGGAAACGAAACTAGGAGACGTCGTCGAACAAAAGGCGAAACTGATCCTATTTTTATGTATACTATTTCAAAAGGATTCAGTATAGGTTTAAAGGTGCACTGATCAATGGCTTCAACCCGGCTGTCACGCGCTGCGAGCTGCGTCTCAACCTACTTTGTGACGATTCGCCGGCTGACGTAACTGAACATCACAATGGACTGGGCTACCGTCTGTAATAAAAGTGTGATATACCTTTAGACAAATTTTACATCATATGTGAGATGCATTTATGAACACTGAATACTCGGGATCTTTGAAGATGCAGATGTACCAAAGGACGCGTATTAATTAATTTCTCAACCAAAACAAGCAGACAAATATAACGGTGGAATCCAACTGAATGCTGTTATTTGGAAATAAACCCATGGTTCTAATCTATTTGTTTTACAAAAGTATTCCGATAGAATATGCATTTGGAGATTATGACAATATTTGTGTGATTGAACTGGATACATTATATATTTAATGATGTCATAGCAATTGACATACATACTACTCACTTGATATATTTGAGACTTTAAACTAATTCTCATTTTGACATAAGACTTCGTGGTTTGCCAATGTGCTTTAAAACCGTTTTTGAAATATCGACAGAAACGAGCAAGATAACATACAAAAGGACCAGTGTCCCTATATTCTTTTTACGGGTTTCGTCGAAGCCTTTGAATTACACTGTGGTGAAATCAGGAAAGAGATATACGAACACTTGTACTTTCATATGTTGCCTTATTCGTTTAAATACGTTTGGTTGGTTTCGTTGTTGTTCAACACCAACACTCAGCAATATACCGGTTGTATGTCGCCTCTTGCACAGGTTGCTGAAGACCAATTCTATCGCGGATATTCACGGTAATCGTTTAAATCTGTATATATTTGAAGTCATTAAACACGAGAGTGGGAGATGTCAATATACATGAGAGTGAGATTATGTTTACCATCCGATGTCATTCTTTAAGCATTTTCAGTTAGTAAAATGTTAGAATCAGTGACCTGTCTGGAGAGGGCAGTGTTGTGATCATGCTCGGTTGTCTCGTTATGGTATAATGCAGTTTCATTTTCAACGGAAGACCCCTTGATGTCGCCAAGAAATATCTTCAGTGGAAACCATTTTAGAACGATAAACCTATTTTCTCACATGACAGTTATTACCCACATTGTGTATATACACTATTGCCTAGCAACCATTTTTCTGTATTCCGTCCTCTGTGACGTTATTAAACACTGACTGAGTTTGGTTTTACGCCGCTTTTAGAAATATTCCAGCAACAGCACGGCGGGGACACCAGAAATGGGCTTCACACAGTGTGCCCATGTGGGGATTCGAACCCGGGTCTTCGGCGTGACGAGCCAACGCTTTAACCATTAGGCTACCCCACCGCCCCTGTTATTAAACAACTGAACGTACCGTCAATGAAGAGGGTCGCCATAGTTGCTTACCGAGTTTGCTGCACAAATGTACATGCATAAATGGATAATTAAAGAACCTTTTAGACTCGAGCTCGGACAATGCACAATTTCTCACTCGTTCTGTATAAGTCGAATGACACACTTGCTCGTGTAATAATCTCTAGATATTATTCGTGGGATAATCAACTTCGATATACGCGATCACGATCCGATGAATATGTAAATGACATGACTTAGCAGGAATTTCCTGTTGTAAGCTTTATTTATATATTTCAGACTTCCTTAATATATTGCATAAAACTCGCATAATACTGTTGTCACACCAAATCAAATCATCACATCACTTCAAGCGTTAAAGGAAACATATTGTAGCGTCATACTATGTTATAAGTATTGACTTAATTGTTTTTCTACAGAAAACTATCGTTTGAAAAACAAGTCTCAGAACTTTATAACATGTTGTCCTACTCGGAATGACGAATGATAGTTCTTAAACTGTTATATTAATGCACACTTTCCACAAAACATTAAAAAAGTAAGGAGGGAAATATTTAAGATATAAAAGAGTGTATCTGCGACATATTTTAAGAGATCTTTCTGTTTTCAGAAGTGATTACCATGGTCTGTGGTGGTGAATCGAAGGTAGAAGACGTCTCCCCAATTTTCGACGTACAAAAGAAGATACAGGACTGGGCATGGGATCAATTCGTCAACAAATCATCTTTCTTGAGAAAGGTCTTCCTCAGAAGGAAAGATTTCGATGTAGATGTCCCCATGAACTTTTACCAATTTGAAGACTTGCCTGCTAGGCTTATGGACAAGAAATCTGAGTCCGAATCAAAGACCCATTCTGAGTCCGATTCCAGGCCCAAACCGAAGCAGCTCAAGCATGGCGACCAGATTCCCAACACATCTCTCCTATCCACTGACTATCAAAACGACACCAATAGGGACCAGGTCTACAAGTTCAGGATGGAACGGGCGAGAACAGCTTCAGTAAACGTCACCTTCCAGACCGGATTTTCTATCGGGGGGGTCCGCAAACTTTTCCATTGGAGTTGCAGAAGCTGGTCTGGAAACACGGCTGGAGATCTCCAAAACTACCGGTCAAACGTTCGAAGAAACGTTGACGTTTGAAACGACAAGTGATATCAACGTTGAAGCCAACAGCTACTGCACTGCACAGGTCGTGTTCACGGAGAAGGAAATTTGTAAGAAGTTCAAGGTTGAGACGCTGATGAGGATGCCGTCGGGATCTGCCCCCGGTGTTCATCAGACGAAAGAAGGATCAGGGGTTGGTTTCGTCCTTTTCCATTGGTGACCTTCAGCCCATTTTTGACAAGCAAATAAGAAAGAAGCAAATAGACGTTGTGGACGAGACGGAGCCGGGGGGAGGAGTTCAAGAAATATGCATTGAAGATAACCACGACGGGAATCATCGAGGGCATGAGACTGTCAGGACAAACAGTCAAGCTGCATTCTGAAGCCATTGACAAACAAAACCGACCCAAGAAAGAAAGAGACAGTCATGTTTTAGAAGAGCACGTGTCGCGTCATGACGCTCTTGTTAAGCTTTAGGGTAAACATTTCTGATGCAATTTTCTAGATGCAATTCGCCCAAATATTCAATATTTACAATATTTGCCAAACATGATTTGTTTAACGTGAGTGCCTTGTTTTAACGCCGATTTGAACAGTAATACAGTTACGTCACGGCGTGTTAGCATGGTCTGGGAAGAAAGCCTGAAGTGATGACAGGAAATGCTGACGAACCTAGAACAAAGCAGGATTCGAACCCAGGATAATTGGCATCCAGAGTACACAAGGGACGCAACCCTGTAGAGCGAATTTGCGGTGTCTCCTCACTATGCACTAGACTGCCTTGTGCTTTTAACCTCAATTTATCTTGGATGAATTGCGTATTTCAATTCTTCCACAAACACTTGCGTCAGTCGGGCAAATGGTTTAGCTGACATGTTAGATGGGTCCAGGAACCAGTAAATGACCCCTAACTTCGTGAGAAGATTGTGATGCATTTATGTGTATTTCGGGTAACAGAGCCCATTCCTCTACTTACATCGTTTCACTCATTAAATTTTTTTTTAAAAATGAAACTTGGGTTTTTCCTTAAAAGGCACGACGAACCTGTCATTAACATTCAGTGATTCACTTTGATGTATTATTAGATTATTGTCACCTGTGCTATTAGAATGTTTGTCTCTGATTGATACGAAAGAGAATTTTTTCGGGCCATCCTCTACTGGTTTATGTTGGTAAATTGTTGAATTGCTCGTGAATGAGACGTGGTGGACAGTGACACAATAGGACATGTTGGTACAGAAATGATTTTGCTAATCGTTAGGTGCTGGCAGATGCTTTAACGAATGCGCACGTGAATTGATGTAAAATCAGACATTAGATAAAGAGACGTTTGTACCAGGGTGTGTAGATTAATTGTTACAGGCAATGTATGTGAATTACTACACAATGTTACATGCCTGCAATAAGAGGTGTGGGTGAATTATTACACAATGGGACACAAGTCTGTAACAAGACTGACTGACTGACTGAGTTTAGTTTTACGCCGCTTTTAGCAATATTCCAGCAATATCACGGCGGGGGACACCAGAAATGGGCTTAACACAATGTGCCCATGTGGGGAATCGAACCCGGGCCTTCGGCGTGACGAGCCAACGCTTTAACCACTAGGCTACCCCACCGCCCCTCTGTAACAAGAGGTATAGGTGAATTATTACACAATGGGACATGCCTTTAACAAAAGGTGTAGGTGAATTATTACACAATGGGACATGTCTGTAACAAATGTGTAAGTCAATTACTACACAATGGGACATGCAAACCTGTAACAAAGGTTTAGGTGAATCATTACATAATGGGACATGTGACTGTAACAAGAGGAATCGGTGAATAAACACACAATGGGACATGTCTGTAACAAGATGTATAGATTAATTATTATACTAAACAAAAGTGAAATTTCACAGGTGTTACTTTTTGACCGAGACAAACCGATATCCAACAAAGTTTGTTGCTAGTGGATAAATCTGGTCTTTGGACGTACACTAAAGACCGCCTCCGTGGTGTAGTGGTTTGAGTGTCCGCCCGGAGAGCAGAAGGTCGCAGGTTCGATCCCCGACCGCGTCATACCAAAAGACGTTAAAATATGGTACTTGTTGGTCCCTGCCTGGCGCTCGGCATTAATGGGTACAAGGACTGGTCGGCTCGGAGTCAGTATAATGTGTCTGAGGGTATTCATGCTTCACTGCGGCATGGTATCTCAGTGGGCTAGCACTATAAAACCAGCTTAAGTCGGGGATAGTACAAGCAGCCGCACATACACATACACGCATGCACGTCGTCATATGAGCGAAATATTCTCAAGCACGACGTTAAACACAATTTCACCTCACCTCACGTACACTAAAACAGGCCTAGGAAGAATCATAAGGCTGCGCTTAACAGACTCTCCACAGTCAATATATATTATATGTATGTCTTCTTCCAGCCAAAAGAATGTGGTCCAACAGTTTACAGTTGGCAGTCCCTTGTATACCAAACAGGATGGATTTAAGATGGATTTAAGATTTAGTTGATTTTCTTATTCCAAAGTTGCCAAATGTCCCAAGAGTGGCCTGCTTTTGTTTTGGCTGGTCATAATCAGTATTTGGATGTTTACATGACAAATGAGTTTATATTGTACTGGTTGTACTCCAGTGATTGCCTAACTCAGTGATACAGCACAGGCCCCATGCTTTTTCTTTTCATTATCTAGATCAAAATACACCCATACATTTGATTTTTAGCTTTCTCCATGTCTATCAATTATGAATATGATAGTTACCTTATCATTTTTGAGAACTGAAGTCTCAGTCATAATATCAGACCTTAACGGCCGCTCATGCACAGCACATGGCAGACAGACAGTCTGACAATATAGCCCAATTAGAGTTATCTCCCCACTAAACACTTTTGATTGAGGCGCTATGTTTGTGTGAATGGAGAGAGGAAAGGGTTCACTTTAACGAACCAGTTATCTTTACATGTGGCATTTTGTAACATCACACACATTGATATTTAGGTAGATATAATGCTAATCTGTGGATCTCAAACACAAACCAGAATATATGTGTGGGCTTTAAATTGTATTTGAGAGCTCGGGCCAAGGCGTACCGAACGCTTGTGATACTGTGTCTTGTTGAGAATATGTAGAAAGATATCTTCACTTTCAGCAACATTTTTGCTTCCAAATACTCACACTTTGAGACTCTGTGAAGTGACATGTAGGTAGATATAACACTAATCTATGGATTTAAACACATTTCAAGATACATGTGTAGGTTTAAGGTGTTTTTGACAGCACGGGCCAAGTCGGACTGAACAGAGACTAAACACTTTGATTGAGGCTATGTTGAGAATGGACCAGTTATCTTTACATGTATGCATTTGATAACATTACAAAGCGATATTTTTAGGTAGATATAACACTAATCTATTGATATAAACACATTTCCAAGATACATGTGTGGAGGTATAAGGTGTGTTTGAGCGCCCGGGCCAAAGCCGGACCGAAAGCTTAATAGATACTGTGTCCTTGTTGAGAATGTATAGAAAAATAGGGCTTCACTTTTGAGCAAGGTGTTTTGCTTCCAAATACTACGCTTTGAGACTCTGTGGAAGTGATATGGGCAGGTAGATATAACACTAATCTATGGATATAAACACACTTCAAGTTACATGTGAGGTTTAGGGTTAGCTTGGCAGCCCGGACGAAGTCGAGGCTGAACGGAGACTAAACTGACTTTTTGATTGAGGCTATGTTGAAAATGAGAGACAAGGGCTTCACTTTTAACAGAGGCAGTTTTCTTTACATGTTGCATTTTATAGCATTACAAAGCGATATTTAGGTAGATATATTACCAGTCTATGGAATTCAAACACAATTCAAACTTTTTTGACGGCTCGGTTTTCAAACCGGCGGAAAATTGTGGCCGAGATAATGTTGAGAGTGTAGTGGGAAGAGATCGTTTCATTTAAATGTGGGCATGCTTTAAATACGATGAATAGTGAATTTATGGGGTGGTATGTGATTGGATATAGATGTAAAAAACATTTTTCGGGCCAAGGGAAATGTGTATCGGAATTACTGAAGTATTTATAGGTTTTAAATCCGTTTCCGTTTAACGCCTTCCACTTTTAGACGTAACCTCGGTCAGCCAGTTCACAGGCGCTCTAGTCTTCCTTCTGGATTTTTTAGCCGATTTACTCGTAATAAAGTTATTATGGTACGCGTTTGTCTCTTCCGATTGATCATTATTATCATGAGTGTATGTTCCATTGATTAATTGTAGGCATGCCTTTCGTTAATGGGTTTTATTAGCCAATAATAGATTTGGTCTGCCTTGGCCCGGCCCAGCCCGACTTTTAGGCCATCCCCTTTTGGTGTCCCCGCCGTGGTATTGACAGAATATTGCTTAAAGCGGCATAAAACCAAAGTCACTCACTCACTCAAGATATCAAAATATTTTCTTATTTGGACCAGATAAAGAAAGTCCATACCACGACTAAAAGCATGAACATTCTATCAAAAAATTCTATCAAATGAATATTTATTAGCAATAATCAAATACAAGGTCATAAAATGCACTTAGGTTGAAATGCACCATGCAACATGGGGTAGTAATAAACACACATACAAATTGTTGCTAAAGAGAAACGAAACAGAATATCTTGATGTCTTCAGTGTGGTTCTCCACACATAAACTTCATTACCCATCCTCTTACACAAACGTGAAATTACAATGTTATTGGAGATGAGAATTTATTCATTTAAACGTCTTTGAGTTTCAGAATCCATGCTTACTGTTTCAATGGGTGAATGAATAGAAGTTATAAGAAATGAAGAAAGTTATAACTGACTTCACAAGGTAAAAAATAGAAACAAAGACGTATGCTAGGGTTTAAGTCAATTATTATTTTTGTATTTTTTAACGTTCATTCCAAAGAGCATAAAGAGTCACATACTGACCACAGGAGTCCTGGGACAAGTCATGAATAACAAGTGTGTGACCACCCTAGACATCCATCCATCCATCCCAACACACGTCTCATGATTGGCGTCGTTGGTCAGCCTGATGTTTTCTGTTCCATAAGTCCAAGAGAGTCTGTTGACAGTTCCTGTCGGTGCGTTGAACATGCTGTCTCAGCTGACGACTCCAGATGATCCCATGCCGAGAGAATCGAACCCGGGTCTTCAAAGTGATGAGCAGACGCATTAACCGTTAGACTGCCCAAACGCTCCCTACTATAACAAATGTGGAAACTATAACAGGGTAGCCAAGTCAGCTACTATAAATTAGTGATCTCGCAAATATGAAAGATGTCCTGGTGGTCAATGGCACTGACGGGAAGTGTGCAATGGGGAGGTGGAATACTAAGCACAGATCTGACATTTCCACCACTAATGACACAAATTTTAACATCAGGATCCAGGATTTAACCTTCTTTGTCAGTGTAACATATGTTATATTTGGGGTTAAACTTTCTTGGGGAAAGTACAGATTCTAGGACTTTGTTGAGTTGAGTCCTATCCGGGATTCGAACCCACACCCTCAGAGTCAGGCACCTAATCGCCAGCACAAACAGCCTTAGCTGTGTAACCTGCTGGACATCTTTTTGTATTTGCGAATCACTAAAGGAAGTCACTGGCTGAACGGGTTAGGTGTCTCAGTACTATCCATCACATTTCCATTCTGTCTCATTGTGTTTTGATTGGTGCAAGGGTAAATAACTGCTGGTTTACCTAGTTGTCTCATCACATTTTGTTAGGCCGCCGCGCCGCAAATTCCACTGGACTGACTGAGTTTGGTTTTACGTGCTGCTTTTAGCAATATTCCACCCAGCAACATCACGTCGGGGATACCCAGAAATGGGCTTCAGCTACCAATTTGCCCATGTGGGATTCAACCCGGTCTTCGGGCGTGAGAATAACGCGAATCCATTAGGCTACCCCAATCACTTCCCCCACATAACTGGAATAGTATGCTGAGTGTGGCATTTAACAATAAACAAATAAACAAGCAAAACA